CTCTATCTTGTATTTCTAGTATCTTTACTATTACCAAACATACGAGTAAAAGTATTATGGCTTCTCTGTATTAATGTATACAATACAATGCAGCCACATTCTAATGTTAATTTCTCAGTTTAACATACAGCAATCCTCATATAAACATAAAAATACACAGGAAAAACACAATTTACATTGGAAGGTTTTAGAGGCCTGTACAGTATCTTATTCAATTTATTATTTTCACTGCAAAACACTTATTTAATAGAAAGTTGAACTTACCTGTCCTTCTGTTCATCAAAGCACCAAAACTTCAAACGGAGTTCAGATGATGTTTGTCCATCATCCCTGGACTCAATTGTTGCAAGCCACTGGCCGTCTTGGCTGAATGCCATGAGGTCAACGTCTGTGTGAATGAGTGGTTTGTCCAGGCTATCGGGGGATATGTAATTCTGCCCAACTATGTCAAGCTGTAAAGAAAATACATATATTATATTATCATCATTATTTCAGCCATTGTCGGCCCACTGCAGAGCGAAGGCCTCCACAAGTTGAAAGCATCTACTTCTGTCCTGCTCAATTCTCATCCACGGCATGCTGGCAAATTCTACATTTCATCTTTTCATCTGGTTTTGAGTCTTCATGACCTCTAGTACCATTTTCGTCTATCTATTTTCACTTGTTCTGGCAAGGTGACCTGCCTTTCTATATATCTCAAGGCAAAGCCAACTTCGGGTGTTCATGTACAAAAACTGTGACAGGTTAACTCATACCCATGCCAACTTGTACCCACAACTCATAACCAAATTTTGGCTGACTTGTATCCATAATTTTGGCTGGTTTGTACCCATAGTTGACTAGCCCGTACCCAAGTTTGGTGTAAGATCTACCTTTGTATTTCAAGGAAATGTTAAGAGAACTATCTATTTTGATGGTAATCATGTTAAACTATATTATTAAAGTCAAAGATTTTAATACAGCAGGAATGAAATTGATAAATTCATGGTCGTTGAGATGTTGAAACTATAACAAGGGGGCTATTACAGTAGTAGTGAGTCAGAGGCGTATATAAGCACTTAAATTTATTGTAGTTCGTGCAAACTTAGAAGGTTTACAAAAAATTAGATTTCGTTTTTGGTAGCCAACTGCAGTACTGTATATAGTAAGAAATATTTAAGATTGGATTTCGTTTTATTATTACGCCAAAGTAGGTAGGAATAGACGTGGGTACGAGTTACCCAATGTTAGGCATGAGTTGACCTCATTTTTGGTACGGGTTTGTCAAAGTGGGTAAGAGTTATGAGTTTGCATGCATACGAGTTAGCCGACACCCCTATTGAACCAATGGCCTAAAAAGCCTCCAAAGAAGGTGTACACTCAAGGTATAAGGTATTCAGAGAAACTTATGCTATTTCCCAGCATCAGAAACTGATGAAAGTTTGCCATAATATTATAATATCCCTTATGCCATAATAGTATATTATTCAATAACTTACATTAAAAAGAGCTCTGTCTTCTTCAACTTGGTAAAACTGTATGTGTCCGACCTTTCCATTGAGAACCAAGGCTTTGGTCCGAGGGTCAAAGGTCATGCCTGCATGGCATGGTGGATGCTGCTGCTGTTGAAGATGGCCATAATTTAGGCCTTGAATGGTCTTAACAACACGGTTGTTTGATACCAACAGGATAACTTTTAGAAAAGAAAATTAAAGAAAGATTAATAAATGTATTTATTAATCCTGTTTAATTTGTGTTTGGTTATTTCCATTTTATAAAAATGAATTTGTACCAGGCATATGTTTAATTACAGTATTTTATTTCTGTAACATGACAAATAAAGTAAACTTTAACATGAAATTAGTTATTTTTGTTGTTTTTCTCACCATTATTGAATAAGCTTAAAGCTTGAATTTGGTTGTCAGGCGATGAAGTCACATGACTAATAGGAGCCAATAACCTGGGCAGGAAATCCTTGTGATTTGTATTATATTGCCACTGTACCAAAGTACACTCATGTCCAACGCTGAATAAATAAGAACCTGCAATGAAAAATGACATACAGTATATTTCAATACTATCATACTACCTCGATGGATATCGACAACAATGGATATAATAAACTGAAGATCATTATTGTTACTACCGTAATGATGACACAATCATCATTGTTATAAAAATAACTATGATGATCATCATCATCCAGAATATTATCATCATCAGACTAATGATGATTATAACAATTTTTACTGTCTGAGATTAATGCCATTTTGGAGAATCTAAAAGTGCTTAAAGTAATCTTAAAATTTGCTCCAACCATGGTGGCTGAGGTGGGTATGGCTAAGGTGGGTGTGGACCCTCTCTTGCAGGTAAATTAGACCACTTTTCGGGGAACTTGACCTTCTGTGGTGGAACTTCCACCCATCGTCGGGAAATCTCTAGTACAGCCGCTAGACTTCTCTATCAATGAAACTCACCTTCTGAAGTGAAACACAAATCTTCAACTCGTAGGGAATGCCAATGGTTCATGGACTTTATCACGCTGTTCTCGTCTGTGAAGTTTCTATAGTAATGGATTCTTCCTTTGTTGTCACCGGCAGCAATGCAGAGCTCAGTCGGATGACATGCAACGCATGTGAACTTACGGTGTTGCTCTTTTAACCTAGCAAAAAAACTAAATGATCAATACAAGAAAAAAGCATGCGTTGTACAATGAAACGGTTTGAATAAATTGAGATAACAATTGCAAAATAAACTTAATAATATAATATATTATCATCACTGTTAGTTATAACTGTTATAATTGTACAAAATAGATTGCAACAGCAGACGTAAACATAACTCAAGATTACCTGATGAATTTCTTTGATTTGATAAAATAGATTCTTAGGATGTGTTCCTGAACGGATGCGATGAATTTACCATGGGCTCCAAACGCAAACGTCCGTGAGTTTGACAAAATGTTACTCATGAGTATCGAAGGATCCGCCTTTACAGTTTTTGCCGTTGCCTTTGAAAGTTTGAACTTGCTTAATTCTAATGTTTGCTTCTGTCCTAATAAATAGTTAAAGAAATATGTGAAATGTTATTAAAATTTTGAGGAATTTTATTTCATGATGAATAAAGAATATATAATAAAGGAAGAACTATTTTCCTTGAAGATACATTGCCAACTATAAAAATCTAAAAAGAAAAATGCCCAAAAATGCAACAAAAACACTAAATCACTCATTTAAGGAGACCAAATTTATTGATGTTGTATTTTTGTGTTTTTGAAACAAGCAAAACAAAAAGTTATACCTAATTAATCCTTTATCATTTTCGATGTGAGTTCCCACCCGCATCATTTGCAAATGTTTTTATGCAAGTATTTGAATACTGAGTATTCAGTACAAAAACAGGTAGGTAGGGCAAAACATCGATTCCTGTTATATTTTCCTGATGCAAACTTACATCAAAATAGCATTTGTAGTACCTGCTGCTACCTGGGGATCAGATTCAACACTAGTCACCAAGCTCAATCTCAGTAGTCTAGTGGTTATGGCGCCAGACCAGTTCTCACCCGAATCACTTGCCAAATTTTTTCACAAGTATTTGGGGACGTACTGAGTATTCGGTACCAAAACACATCAGGTACTGGCAAAATATCACTCCTATGACAACTCTTTATCAATTATAGAGTGTATGATGAACTTACTTGACTTTGGCTTGGCAACAACAAATATGACATCGAGGTGAGCTGGGGATGTCAGCAAACCAAGTACAGGAGATGGGAGCTTGTATGTCTGGAAAATATTTTTAAAAAATTAATTAAATATATTAAATTCATGTTACTCAGTATCAAACACTATTAAAATAATGTATTAGATGTATCATTACCTGTTATAACGGAAGTGGATGAAAATGTTTACATTTGAACCTAAGAGTGTAGAGTTAAGTTTACTAAACTGTTGAAATAATAAAACGAGAGCATCAATGATGCAGTAGTCCACTTGATATTTTAATTCCTCCAACACATGTGATAGTATTGCTTAAATTTTTGCATGGCGAAGAAATAATATATATGTTGAAGCTTGCAGTACACCACGTAAGTAGTTCTGAAATGTACAGTATTAGATGTATCATTACCTGTTATAACTGAAGTGGATGAAAATGTTTACATTTGAACCTAAGATCAACAGTTCTTTTCAGAACTACTTACGTGGTGTACCGCAAGCTTCAACATATATACATGTGATGGTCCTATAAATCGAGCCCAAAAATACAGCAACAAAAAATTACAAATTCCAATCAGTTTTTCTTAAACTCTACAAACACATTATTATCTTGCAATGTTTGTTTTGCTTCACCACAATCTGGTACACAATGGTTGTCCATACCTTAAGGAGAATTCCATCTGGAAAATCCCATTGTTTCACAGTACCATCAACAGAACAGCTGAACACCTTTTGTAAACATAAGAGAAGAATAAAAAAAAAGCAAGTAAAAATTAAATTTATGAAAATATTTGTACTAAATAATCTGACTGGAGAAACTGCATGAAAGGCCAACTGTATTAGCACTCACCTGTAAATGATTTGAATGGTTCAACTGTATCCCTGTGACAGCATCTTGGTGTGATGTTAACGTCTGAACACATTCCCCACTTGCGGTGCTATACACACTCACAGCATTGCCAGAACAGCATAACAAGTACCTAAAGATCGCTCCCCAAAATAATGGGAGATATTATTGGAGTATGAATTCATGGGGACAGAAACCAACAAAACAAAAACAACATACATGTATTATACCTTTTACTCTTTTTTAGGCTATCCTTGAGAAATTGCCATGAGAAATGCCTTTATGGAGTATGTATCTGGTGTGATATTTAGTCCCCTATCATAGGGCCTATTAGTGATATTGATTTTTGTTCCATTCAAAAATATTAATTGGGGAAACAAAAGAAAATTAATTACTAGCACCAACCATGATGGGAATTTGAACAGAGGAGGATGAGAGGATGCCAAACTGATGCAAAATTACTCGATTTTATGTGCAGTTTTAATAGGGTTTTAATTTTGTGGGCTGCAGTCGTGCTGCACTTTCATGGCTGCTTTTGTGATTGTGGACAACCAGAAGTCAAACAAAGAAGAAAGCTTTTATTGGAGTTTTTTATTGGCCAATCAGCATCGTAGAATGTAATGACAGTGTCATTACATTCTACGATGCTGATTGGCTACGTATACCGCGGGAATAATGTATTATTTACTATTTGCACGATAGACAATGTTTGTATTATATTTTCTATCTGAAAAGGTATTTCGGTTCAATTATTATCTCGTAAAATATTTAGGTCATTGAACCTTTTGAGACGATACCGTGTTAAATATACAGTAGTTAATTCACGATGTACCGTGTGAATTGGGAATAAGAACTTGCGCACGGTATGACAGCCGTTACGTCATGAAACCTTAAATGCTGATTGGCTAGGTCCACTGTGCGAATAAGACTCATAAGAGCTTATTCACACGGTCTACCGTGCGAATAACCACTTCCAAAAAAATATTATGACTATTATCAAAAAATATCCTCTTGCTGGGCTCTAAATTAAAAAACAAGGCCTAGGCTAGGCTTGACAGGTTACAGTACGGCAGAACAACCATGCTTCTCTGTCTCTTCTATCCTGACCTGTACAAAGCCCATATCAGTCCGGTACTTGTTGTAACTTGCCACTTAGTAGGCCTAGGCTAGGCCTAGCTTGAAGCCTAGCCTAGCAAGCCCTCTTATAATTATATTCTAGACTACAATTTATACAAAATTAAATCGTTTTCTGCAGCAAAATATGTTGGTAAATAAATTCAAGTGCTTACTTTGAATCTTTGGAAAATATTGTTCTCTCTTGTACGAATTTCCTGCCTCCACGTTGAACCAGGCAAGGCTCCATCGATGTAGCACATGTGTCGGCCATTAGACGTTGAGCGACAACAAAACGCGTTCAGCGTTAACAGTGTACAAGAAACGCGAACATTGTGTATTTCGGTAGCAACAATTCGCGTTTCATCAGTGCAAGAGTGACGCTTCATCAGGTTTCTTTCAAAGATTGGATTCACACTCCCGCTTGTTCTTGAATCCAATAAACAATAATAATACCGAATGAGTATTTGAGAAGGAAGTTATATAGAAATCAAACATGACTGCATTACCAGTAGGAAGGATACGAATGATAATGAAAAGTTCTCCAGAAGTTACTTCCGTCAGTCAAGATTCTCTTTTTCTTATAACCAAAGCAACAGTAAGTAAGTTTTTGTGAATTAAACTAGGCCTAGGCCTAGGCCTAGGCAGGTAGAGCTGCTTCCCTCCCTGCCTAGGGCTAGCGAGCGAATACATGTCAAACCGTACCCATGCCAACCCGTACACCCAAGTTTGATGAATGATATTTTTACTATAATAAAACGTTTTGCAAACTGTATTGTATATTAGATAGTAATCATAGGGGCTAATGCACTTTCGCACCTAAGACTTAGGCTAAGTTTTAATTCTTAATTTTTTTACCTCAACGTTCTTCTCACAGTCAAACATATAATTAACAAACATGTTCACATGATTTAACCACTCACAAAGTACCTTTTTCAACAAATTAAAGCCCACAAATAAGTACTGTACAGCGAATCTGTGTTCGCTAGCACGACGAGCGGCTGCCATTTTGCAATTAGTAAGAAAATGCCAGAACTTTAATTCTTAATATTTTTACCTCAATGTTTTTCTCACAGTCATAACATATAATTAACAAACATGTTCACATGATTTAACCACTCACAAAGTACCTTTTTCAACAAATAAGCCCACAAATAATAACACTAGCACGACGAGAGTAAGAACACTAATAAGTATAGGCCCAGAGGAAAAGAAAACTTACCTTAATAATTAGCGCCAACGACAATCTTACAGACCGCACGAGATCGTACAGATACAAATATCGTACGGGTTGACCAAAATGACGTGTGTACGGGTTGACCAAACGTGGGTACGGATTGACCAAAATTTGGGTATGGGTTGGCATGGGTACGGGTTGGTATGGGTACGGGTTTGGGTACGGATTGACCAAAATTTGGGTACGGGTTGGTATGGGTACGGGTTTGTTTGGGTACGGATTGACCGACACCCGGGCTAGCTCCTAGTTGGATTGGAGCACAACCAGTGGAGTTGGGGAGGCCTGGGCCCTCTTGTACATAGACTGCCTAGTCTCACACATAATAAACAAGACTTAAAGGAGGCCTAGGTTTACGTGATGGTAGAGACCTAATTTAAAATTATGGCCCGGCCTTGGAGATTGAGAGACAGGCCCTATGGAAATTGAAGACAATAGAGTTAGTAAACTTTATATTTCTTTTTATTTTACCCAGGAACTTTTTGTGGAAAATATTGCCAAAGAATCATATGCAAGAAGAAAAGTTGACGGTTTTGTTAATTACAATGACCTTGCTGAAGCAGTAGCTGAGGAAGAGAACTTTCAATTTCTAGAAGGTGTGCCAACAGCCTCCATTGAGCTTTTCTTTGCTGCAGTAACTTATAAGTAACTTTGGACCATGTTTTTAGGCAAATTCTCATTTAAAAAAGTATACAAAGAATGTTATTGTGAAGTTCTAAAACTTTAGTAAAGTTGAAATTATTGTGTATAATTAGTTAATTGAAGATTTGCGTATAGTTTTCATTTCATTTCTTCATATTTTTATTTAGCATACATTCATTTCTAACAATTAAAATGTAAATATTATAAATAGAAAAAACTTAAAATATCTTTAAAATTGATTAAAATGTTACTAATTTGCCAAAAATATGAACAAAGAATGGTTGCACAGATGACTCATAAACTTAATTTATTTCCAATCGTGTTTTCATAATTTCTGTTTTCCTTTACATCCAAAAATAAATCAATGTACTGTAGTAATCTTTTTTGTGTACTTTTATTTTATACCCAAAATTAATTTCTTAAAAGAATAAATGCAGTTAAACTTGCCTACAGTAATTCGAATCCAAAATGCCGTTGAAATATTGTTCAACTTAGATTAAATTCGACTTACAGATTGTTAAATAATGGAATACACAACAATTTGCCATGTGAAATTAGATCGATTTAGAAATTATTTGACTTAGGTAAAGTCGATTTAGGAAAGTTTAACTGTACTGTAAGTTATGGATTGTTTGATTTATTGATTATTTAATGAACGAGTGCAGTAAGTCTGTGTAATGTGGAGGTATAAAATAAAGTTGTGATTTGACATTAAGAAAATTCAGCGAAGTCTTTAGTGATTCCCACAAATTATATTTTTACAAATGAGAAAGATTACTTAAACCTTCATCAATACTTAAAATTTTCAGATGTTTTACCTAAGAAGATACTTGCCAGAGACTTCTTGAAAGCTAACAGTAAAGCTGAGAAAGAAGAAGACAGTTAGCACATGCTAGAGGGCAGCACAACATGGACAACAAACTAGACAAGAAATCATAATTCTCACGCCACTGATATGCATCATGATAACTGACTAAACAGCTGCAATAAATAGTAATAATAATGGTACCTGTGGTCATCAGGTGGAAAAAGTGAGGATGTCTAAACTGTAAATTTAATGATGCCAGTATAGAGGGCCCATAGTTCTAAAATATATTTCAGAAAAGAATTTTTGAAAGTCAAAACTTGGGAAAATTTACCCATCATTTGTTTATCATCTACCAAATGTATGGGGTGGCATATGTATGATGGATTGCGTAAATAATAGCACTTTTACACTATCAAGCCAAAATAAACGCTGGTGTGACACCGGAGGCAAAATCCATTTACACTTAACGACTTATGGTTGATCTATAACCTCTTCATGTTAATTGTCGAGTGTTACGGTCTTCGCATGTTTTTTGGTGTTCCTTTCAGTCGTGTTTGTGTTTTTAAACGGAGATTTATTTCTGAGTTACCTTCTTCTTACAACCGTATTGTTTCTGAAAATAGTAATATATCTTTTTTAACAGTTTTAAACATTTCCGATCTCTCATGTTAAAAAGTATCTATCTCTAAGCATAGAGAAAATGGTTTAAGCTGCCCTTATAACTGTGTTTTGTTTCTTGATTCTTTGTGCTTGGTGGGGTTGCTGTTAGTTAAGAATGTACTTTTGATTGTCCTGACTGTTTTTCCGTATTTTTAGAGTTTATACTATATTTTTTATGTCCATCCTGTAAGTGGCGATTTTTCACTTTTGGTTTGGAAATAAATAAAATAAAATAAATTAAATTAAATTTTGGTTAAACTAGATTACAAAAATTAGTAGATTTACCTACTTAATGCAGTACAAAAATTTCATTTCTACGAAACATGTCTTCCTGGCTTGACGGACTGAGCAAGTGTATGAAATAAACAAGTGCACCGTGTACCGGTTTAATTGTATGGACCTTCTCTAAACCTAACATCCCAGCCCCTCTAATGCGAATTTTAGAGCATTAGCAATATTAACAAGACATTAAAAAAAAAAAACAATGTATATACATTAGTTGATATCAGCTACACTACTGGTCCTCAGCTGCAATGAGCACAACCAACTTCGTAATGGGACGTACCAATTCTGTGCATGCAGTTTTCAGTTTTGCAGATCTCACTAATTCCTTAGCGTCCTTATGAACACTCTTGCCATTGGCCACTGTCCTCTTGGTGAGTTCTCTGCGATGATCACAATGTCGCCTATTTCTAGGTTTCTGCGTTCTTTAGACCACTTCTGTCGTTCCTGCAAAGTTGCCAGATACTCTTTGCTCCATCTTTTCCAGAACACATTCACCAGGTATTGTGCCTGTCTCCATCTCTTACGTACAGTATATATACACGTCTCCCTTATCAAATATACCTGGGGCAGGTGCATAATCGGCTTGGGCTAGTAGTAGATGGTTAGGTTTTAGTGGACCTTCTTCGTTTGGATCATCGGATAACATTGTGAATGATTAATGATCGCCACTTCGCAAAATAGGGTCCTTAGACCTTCGTCATTTATTTTAATCGTCTGTTCCTTCATAAGACTGTACAAGACTTGTCTTATCGATCGTATCATTCGTTCCCAAACTCCTCCTTGATGCAAAGCAGAAGGTGCATTGAATCTCCAATCAATTCCCTCTTGTCTTAGTATTGTATGAATTTAAGAGTTATTCCACTATTTAATCGATTTCTTTAACTCCTTTGCAGCTCCAACCAAGTTTGTTCCGTCTGGCAACACATCTTCTTATTGTGTATATGCAGGAGTCCGTGTCCAGTGAACATGCCATCCTATGTGTATTGCTCTAGTGGCAAACCGATGTCTTTGGAAGCAATATTGGGTGCTTCGCCTCTGTTGGAATAGATGCTCATACTAGCCTTCCAGCACTGAGCAACTTAGCTCAGTCGGCTAATCTGGTGGTAGCCACTGTGTGTGCGCTGAACCGTGGAGATCTGTAGGTCCCCGGTTCAAATCCCATCGCTGTCTCTCTTTGTGTTTCAGCTAGAGGGCTGAAATACAAGTTACAATAGCGCACCGTCTTTCGGATGAGACGTTTATGCCGTTGGTCCCGTGTGCATTTATGGCCCACATGCACGTTAAAGAACACAGTACACTCTTCGGAAAAGAGTAGGGGATTGTCTCCCGGTGTACTGTCCAATCATCACCAGAAGGACCCCACTGGAAATAAGTCTTCTAGACTTTCGTGGGCTATCCTTGGTGTTTTCACTGAATAAATCCAATTCCTCCTTTTAGTTGAATTTACCACTTATGGTTGAACTATAACCTCATTTTCGTTGAACTAGATTACGAAAATTTGTAGATTTACCTGCTTAATGCAGTACAAATCGTACAAATGTGCATTTCTACGAAACATGTCTTCCTGTCTTGACGGACTGAGCAAGTGTATGAAATAAACAAGTGCACCCTCTACCAGTTTAATCATATGAACCTTCTCTAAACCTAACAAAAAACTGCGGGATAATCTCGGGTCACACCCATTTACACCTCACAACAAACACCGGCTTAACACTAGCTAATTAGTCCGCAAGTCTAGTTTCGCAGGGGTAAAACATAGTGAAAAAGGCGTATAATTATGTAGTTTATAGCTCAAGGTGACATCTGAGTACTGTATCAGAATTTCTCAAAGGGGTGAAGTTAAAAAAGTGGAGAAGGTGGTTAAGATGCTTGCCTTCCAATCCCAGGGTCTCATAAGTCAACAACATCTCCACACCTGATGCCTCATATTAAATGAGACTTCGCTGATAATGCATCACATTATTTCATTTATTTAAGAGGGCCCTGGATAACAGCCAACCTATAATATGCTGGAAGGGTCGCCCTTTATAAATACGGGTTTAAAAAAACTGAAGCAAAATTAGGTCGCTTGATCATTAATAAACTTTTCCAGATTGTCGATCAAACTTAACAGATAAGTCAGAACAGAGCCAGAAATATGTGCTTGACCCATGGACACACATACACATGTTTTCTCACAAATGGATGTGTTTTACGTACGTTTATGCCGCCGTTTGCGTCCATAGCAACAATATCCAAGGTGCAGAGCTTAACGGAACGATTTTTTTGTGAGAATCGAAAGTTAATGAATAAATTTGAATTATTTGAAACAATGGGCTTATTCGACTGGTTCATTTCGTTAAGTACGAATTTTCGTTGGGTATTATTTTCATTTGACTGGTTCGCAAGATAGACTACGTTGACAACGAAAATTAACGTAACCAGAATGCGTTAATCAGCGTTAATTTATGCACGTGGAACAAAAAAAATATGGTCAATTGTTCCGTTTAGCAATAACATTTGCGTTAATATAATTTAGATTAAATTTCAGAAAACAAAAATTATAATATTTACCCACATTGGAGTCAAAAAATAATTGTAGGCTTACAGAATTCAAAAACTGGTTGAAAACATTTTTTTTTATGAAAAAACCCATACTGCCACAATTTAAATATGCAATGAATTGTTTCTGCTCTGCTTTTCCTTTTTAAAATTGGACAATAAAAACTAAATGAAATGAAATAAAGTAACCTTGATTACGCAGCGTGTATCGCGGTAACTATGCGGCCATTTTGTTTTGTCGAGTATTTCCCAGTTTTCTATTCGACTGGTCGTCCTCGTTAGTAGGAGCATGGACCTATTAATAAGTATTAAATGGTAGGAGTTTACCACTGCGCAGGTGGGCGTGAACGAAGAACGACCACTTGAATATGGCCAATGTTATTGAATCTTTGTAGAATATGAATGAAGCAATGTATATAATTTGGTAAGATGCGTTCCAAATTGCTCCAAATCATTAACTCTATGAATTTGTAAGGGCTGTAATACTGTAATAGCATGACCTCTATTACACCTATTAGATGCTGGCTTCAGTTGAAAACACTAAAGATTTTTTAGGGTACTGATGGAGGTGGGTCAGTTGTGTATTTTGAATAAAATAATATTTCAAACTATATTTTTGTATTCATGTCTATTATTGGAGAATTTCACAGATTTGTGTTTCAAATGGGAGAGTAACTTTATAGAATAGCACATTTAAACTGTATCCAATGTTTAAATGTTTAAGGTTAATTAATGAAAAATACATAAAAATCTTTTTAAAAAAATAATATCAGAATTGTATGTATCACAGATTGGACAGTACAGTAATTTGACGTGACTTAAGGTTTACATGTATTTTTTTATATATTTCTCCGCTTTTGAAATATTTCAAAATATTTTTTGCTTGATACTTTCATCAGTTGATCGTTTTATATATGCCTGAAGTGTTTGCCAACTGCAATTTAAAACAATATATATGAAGTTATGGATGGGAAATTTCTAACGTCCCGAGCAGGGTACTTTCGTCGTCCAATGAGATTTAAAAAATGAGTCTAAATTTTATTATGACATCAATGCATTTACGTTGTAATTCAAAATGTAAATCTATCTTTAAAGGACAAAATTAATACTATTTATTCTAAAAATAATTAATAAGAAAAGATCGATTTCTACATAATTGGCGGTTTGGCAATTATCACAAATTGTGTAATGATGGTGAAGGTGATGGTAATAATATTAATATTAATTACTATTAACACTACTAATGTAATAAGATAATAATAATACTTTAGGCGCCTTGAACGATTCCGTCGATTGTGTAAAATACTGCGCATAATTAACACGACATTTACATTTTTATGACTTATATAACTTTACATAATTTGATATTCTTTCATAATATGACATTAACATGTCATTTTCTTTTTATTAGTAACGCAAAATTGACGGAGATTCTGTCAGAAAAAGTGATTTTTAAGCATCACACGATTAATATTCTCTGAAAAACACAACAAAGTATCGTTATAGCCTATTGTGTACAAAGGTATTTTATGAGCTTACAGTATATTTTCAAAGTAATTCATCAGTTATTTGTTGCCTCACTCAAGGCATATTTTACTTCGATTACTCCATAGCTATAACACCTGCATCCTTCTCTTTAAGCATGTTAACGATATAATGTAACAGACCGTGCATACATTGTATATAGAAAAATTATTAAAAACAGAAGATAAGATATTATGGTTATGATACTCGTATTAAAGCACCACCAATGTCCTGGGGGAAACCTAGAAAAATGGTAGAATTGTTCTCATACTTTTAAGCTTCGAATCAACTAATGAAAAAAAAAGTGATGAAGGTAATAATAAATGACACGGCGATGATAATAGTGATGATGACGACGATGATGATGGACATGATTATAGACGATGATGAAGATAATAATAAAGAGGGTGATGATCACAAGGATGATTGTGATATAATATAAACAAGTATAATGTTCAGCATTTCTGATCATTTATACGGATAAGAAATAATAGAAAATAAAGAGTTACACTTTCGAATCACATGCTTCGTATTATTATTATTATTATTATTATTATTATTAGCATATCATTCGATACCTATCTTTGAATCTTGTACATATTGCATTAATACCGGCCCTTCTGAGCTAATAAGATTTATTTTAATTTTTTATTTAAAACATCTTTAGGCAGGATAACATACGGTATACAGCCGAGATCTTACCGCTGCTTTACAATATGGTCCTGCAAAAACACAGTACGATTACAACAACAAAAAGTAACCAGCACAGTACAATAAAATAAACAGTGGCGTAACGCCTATGCGCTCTCATGCGGCGGTCCGCAGGACCCCGAATTCTGGGGGCCCCGAAGGGGCCTTACCCATAGGTTTCTTGATTTGGCAACCTGACCAAAAAGGACTTTGTTGATAAATAACACCATAATGTGTCTCTGAAATCGACTGTAGGGCATATATCATATTATAAGGGGAGGGGGCCCGGGACCCCACCAAATTTGTCAAAAAAAATTTAAAATGGAGATAAAAAGAAAATTATATTCACAATTTCAAGTCTGTGAGTGCCATTTCTGGCCATCTAGACGTGCCATAATAATACATTTTCTTATCTCAGCCCCACAAGGGCAACAGCATAATGTGTTTTGAAATCGATTGTAGGACATATCGTATTATATCCAGTGGCGGAATGAAGAGTTGGGGGAGGGGGGAGGGAGCTGCCGGGCAAGAGCTGCCGGCGGCCCGGGGCCCCACTAAATTTGCCAAAATATTATTTAACTGGAGATAAAAGAAAATTATTCACAATTTAATGTCTGTGAAGTGCCATTTCCGGCCATCTAAAAGTGCCATATTCATAAATTTTCTTACCTACGGTGGCATACCGTAAACTCTCCAACTGTGAAAGTCCCTCCCTGGACTCAATTTTCTGGATCATTTATTCGTCGTTAAAAACATTTAGACGTTAAAAACATTTAGAATAACAATGCACATCTAAAATCCCACGATGGAATTGGTGACTGGGACCCAAAAGGGCCCCCAGTTTCAGAAATACACAGGGACCCCGGCCCCATTACGCCACTGAAAATAAACAATAGTAAAAACTTTGGTGGCAAACTATCCCCCGCCGGGCACCAACCCGGTACTTCTGAGTAAGATGATTAGTTCTCCTTATTTAAGGCCTCTTTACACAGACTTCGCTAAATCATTACTTCGCAAGTATCTGCATTTCCGAAGCTCTTCATAAGTGCCATCCTCCAGCACTGTTTTTGCCCTTGGCATCGCAGCATTTGAGATACCATATGCTGAGTTAGCACTATCAATTCTTTCAACTCTTAAGAACTCGTAAACAACGTGCGCTACCTCTTTTTTGGGCTGGGCACCAAAGACGCTCTTAAGTCCACTTGAGACAATTTCTGCCTCGCAACTACCAACCACACTTTTGGGCCTCATTGAGGCGTTTACCGCCCCGTTGTATTCCTCCTGACGTTTGTAATGTGTAAGCCCTTTATTATTATTATTATTATTTGTGTTCCTCTTTTGGTAGGTAAGAGGAAACAGTAAATTCTTTTTTGACTTAACTAATGGTCTATACCTCTTCTTTGGAGCACAGGGTGAACCAGGAATTACAAATTTCGCCCTAGTTTCTTTTAAAACCGGACTGCGTTTCGCAGTGTCGTTTTCATGCTGAGTAGCGAAATCATCTAGAAAAGCTGTTTTTATTGACGCAACCGAATGCCTATTCCCTTTAGCAGATTGACCCAAATCATTCTTTTTCCGAACTGCCGCGGCAGACTCGACTTTTTCATACGAGTTTACGTCAGCTTTTTCTACAGAACTACATTCGCTTTTGGCTGGTACCCACATTGGAGTAAATAGAAGAGTCTTGCTTGGCGACATATTTCGATTTAAGCGACTGCCTGCTACAGTCAGCTTCCTTGGGAAACCAGCTACATCATCAATCGGTTTTCCAATTTTACTTGTACAAACATATTCTTTTGATCCTTTCTTTTGCAATTTACTCCCATTTATCTTTATATGAGATATAGCTTGATGTAATCCTTCATCATTCATTTTGGTAACACCTAAGGGTGATATCTCTACATGTTGCCTCCCATTTAAATGCATTGCTTCAGACCTAGTAGACCTTAATACTGGTCTTGATTTCGCATCATCTGACACTAGACAACGATCTGGAATTTCTAACGTTTTAGATGGAGTTTCTTGTGAGTTCGTCTTTTCTCGTTGATGAGTATCCGAAACCTTTGGAGCTTGTGTTGATGTGGCACTTGTTCTAGAAATTAATCTTCTGTTCAGGGCACCATAATCTTTCGTGTATATATTTACACGCCCATTCCTCGGCTTAAATATTCTCTGAATATGGTTCGTGAAGGTTTTGCTATTGATATTTAGCTGGTGAATGCTTTCTCGCATTTCGCCTGATATGTCATTGATTTTTTTCTGTAACTTACGTTCTTCCAAACGCTCGGCTTGCCGAACACGTGTAAAGTTCATTAATCCTTTCACTTTGGCAACACGGAAAGGTTTTTTATCTGTCATCTTGTCCCAATTTAGAATGGATGAAAAATAAACCCTTCCTACTGTTTTAATTCACGAGTAACACTTTTCTTATGTAATGTCAAGTTATCCAAGGAGTAGCTTATGTCAACGAGTTGCTCACATTCTTGCGAACGCATTTATCAACTTCATTTGAGATGGTAATATACCAATATGTGATAGTTGTTCAGTACTGATGTTTGTATACTTCACCAATCTGTGATAGTTGTTCAATGCTGATGTTTGTACTTCTTTGTAGCCAATGCTGAGAATACGAGTAAGAGTAAACGTTTTAAGTTCAGAGTAAAGGATATAAGTTGTAAGAATGAGTTCACAACAACAAAACAATATACAAGCAAGACGTAAATGAGCGACTATGAATCAAATACCTAATCACTTATTAACCATGCGTTGTTGACTAAAATGGCTGCGAGAAATGAGGAGGCTGTTAGCGGCCACTTGTGCAGATAATAAATTGAAAAGTGTCGCAAGGTCTGATGGACAATCCACAAGCACTTCAGTTGTCTGTGTTTGCATTTCAATAACTGCCTACTCCTAACCTCATTCCACTCCCGCAGTTTAGATAAAGACGAAATATTACATAATATCTAACAGCCATGTATTTAGGCTAATGCAAATTGCCTGGAAAAACATTTCAATCGATAACATCTCTCGGTACCGGAGTAAGCTACATCAGAATAAAAGTTATCAAAACAAAGATGCTTTTTGCTTTCTGTGTATAGCAGGTAATGTTAGTTTTTCAGTAAATATGCCTAGACTAACGGTAAATTTCTGGACATTCTGTTCTATGGTCTGCAATATTGATCTTGTAATTTCCTCAAAGCTGTCATAAGAGCACCTGCAGTAAGCCAACGCTGACACTCATGCTATTTAACTAATTATGAGTTCTAAATACATTTAGCGATATGTGACTCAAATACATATGTAATGTCGTACCATATTGAATCTTATACTACCATGGCGTGTTTATAGAAAGGCAGACGTTTGTCTCTAAAATATACATAACACTTTTCAATAGACGGAAATCAGACAGATGTGCTTCAGAATGCACTGAATGCAAACAATTATCGTAAATATAACAAAAATTGCGAATAAGATCTCAGTTTTTGCAAGTTTATATCTCCACTGGCATAATTCTTAAAATAACACCGTGCAATAAATGTTGCCACTGACGCAATACACACATTATAAATTTCAAATACCATCTCCAGAGGAAAAAAAACCCGAATCAATTTTTTTTAAATTTTCGATGTACTCGAATGAACTTTCGTAGCTTCCTAATAATTTTTACACATTTTGTAATATAAGCTTAATTTTTATCTGGGTCCATAATAATGTGAGCGTAATATGCCCTAAAAATAGCAAAATATGAATATTAAAGCGTTTAGATTAGGTTATATTGTTTTGTTAGATGACCGTAACGGTTCCGCAACAAGTAAGGAATAAAAGAAAACGAGACTCATAGGTAAAATTACACTGTCAAATATGTACTTATTTATGTTATGCTTTATGATTCATTGAGTCGATATCAGGCGGTCACCTTTTGGATATGGAGCGCCAAGAAGAGAACTTTCTTTAGTGAGTTTCAAGTTAAGCTGCGTTCGAAGAAATGAAAGCGACACGGCGCGTCATAACTGTTAGTTAAAGATCGTCAAGTGGTTTCCTTGTCAAGGGCCCGGTATTCTATGTCTTTATGTAAAGTAGACCAAGGGGACAAGATAAGTTCATAGGGAGCATATCATACAAAAAGAAATTTTGCTGGAGCTTGATACAATGAACGCTTGAGTGGGTCATTTTAAACCCCCTTTGTTGTGATTACGAGTAGTTAACAGAATCGATGATATTGCTATTCAGCTTGCCAATTATCACAGTACCCCGTTAGCATGCACCGGTGTATAAAGTTAGCTTGGTAGAATCACACATAAACTCAGTGTTTCTTGAGGTGTATAAACAGTTCTAGGGAAACTTACCAAACTAATTCTGGAAACATTAGAAGGTAAGTTTGAATACATGAGTTTACTTGTACAAGTTGTTAGGAACGTAATTTAAGCAACTGAATGAAATTTAAACCAGTTTACTCTGAAATGTAACTTAATTGTATTATAACATATTATGATGATGACATAATTAATGCCGAAATATTGAATCCCAACACGATGGCGTGTATTTCAATACTTGGAGTATGTATTATACTTTCTTACCTGAGATTAATCAGTGGACCTCACGTTACCTGTTCAACCATGAAGCCTCCGTGTTCTAATGGTTATGACGCTCGCCTTGACAGCGAGAGGTCGCAGGTTCGAGTCCCGCCAGAGGCATTTTATTACACAATTTCTTTATTCATTTATTTACAGGACTACATTCGTTGAGAGCTATGCTACACGATGTATTTATTAAGTCCTTAGTACGAACACTGTATTTACCTTTCTTTGATGGTTTATATATGTATATATATATATATATGCAGTATATACTAATTCGTTACAAAAACACTAAGTGACAGGAAAGGATGAAAATGAATAATATGCTTTAGATAGTATACCAACACAATCCAGCCTGACAAAATACAGTATTTCGAACTTTGAACGATTATAGTTCGAAGTATTGAATCACGATGATTTGTATAATTTCTTCAGAGTTTGTTTCACTCTACCTTATCAGGAAACAAACCCCATGGTTTATTAAAATTCTGAACAATACTCTCACTGTACTTCGATGAAGATTGGCCTGAATTTTGTAGGCCTACTCCTAGTCGATCACCTGTCATTGTGGGTTTCTGGTTGTTTTTTTTCGATGAACAAAACCATACCTAACCACCCTCTCTCCTCAGCCACCCTGCTTTGATGGCCAATTATTATTAAGTAAACAAAACAGTCAAGTTTAATCTTTATGTAATGTTTGTACATATTGTTTTTGATATGTATTTTTACGTATTTTTTAACTGTAACGAGGAACTGAGTCTGGCTAAGTTTCTCTTGTTGTGACAATAAAGTATATATGTCTAAGTCTATGTCAATTGATAAGATAATACCAAAACCACGTGGTTGGACGAAGGAGGTAGGTGAGAAGGCACGCTTTTGTTATGATTCTAGTTTTAGATTTTCGAACAATGATTACGGTACGACAATCGGCATTTGAGTGACAGTTCCATAACCACATTGACTAGAAAGATGTAGGTGAGAAGTCGTGAATATAATGCATTGTAATTTTCTTCGAATAAAAGTAATACTTCCTGTAAGCACACACTTGATGACCCTTTAATCGTCCTAGCATAACCTCATTCATCTGTGTCTCTTTTGAAAATCTATTCACTTGTTATAGTTAAATTTCCCAACCAACCCATCCGGCTTTATTGATGTGAAATAAAGGAGGTGGGAAGGTAAAAGTTTTAATTGCGAATGATATGCGTTAATTATTTGGACAGTTTTTAATGTATTAAGCATAGGCCTACTGTTCTGAATGGTAGAAATTATATTTGCCTATACGTATATTTCTTTCCGCTATTTTGAAACTCTCAATAGGTCTACCTATTCTTAAGTTAAAACATTGAGCAGATCGTTGAACTTATAATTGGTACCGGTACTGCAAAACGCTGAGCTAATATATTATTAGAGAAAAAAGAGGAAATATTATTTTTTGTTGTAGCACTAATGAATGTTTTAATCAGCAAAAGTGAAATGTTTCGTTAGAGTGGTTCCAAACAACAGCGGGTTTTTATCATTGTCATCCTATGTATCAGGAAACATTATTATGGCCATTTAATACGAATTGATTGACATCCAAAACATGTTCAAAATATACAAAAATCCAGAGTCGGGGTGATATAACATATTAAAGGCATAGGCCTAAGTGAAATACAGAAAAGTGTCTAATACTAGCGACTTCTATTGACTGTTTTTGTAACTGATGGTTTAGGCCTACCCGTGGAATGCAGCTTAACTGCACAATACTCTTTTCACCAAATAGGTATTACCGGTATTTGCTTTCACTTGTCTATATAAAGAGTTCAGTCTACGGCTTAATGTTTTGGTTGATTGTTATTTTTTCACTTAAGGCAAAAAGGAGAGAATTCCTTTCAAAATGTCTGACTATGGTTATCCATTTTCAAGCCTCGGGTACTGTACTGAACTTAAACTTTTATATGCATGTTGACATTGCATTAGTATGACTGGTTTAAAAGCGAACTTAATTAAGCATTTGTACTATATACTCACAGCATAAATACAATTTACAGCTGTCATACTAACTGTAATAGACTGGGCTTGTCGTAGGTAGCCTATTAGGCTTGTCGTAGGTAGCCTATTAACCCATCTTATACTATACTAGTTTTCAGAATTTTTCAAAAGTGGGGGGGGGGGGGGGGGGGCACAACGTTTTCAGAATAGATAAATGAGTAGCGCTATAACATTGATATGCATTAAAATTTCAAAAGTTAGTGGCAAAACAGGAGGGACGTGCCCCTACTGGATCTGTCTCTTATACACATCTTTTGAATCTGTTCAACCATGAAGCCTCCGTGGTCTAGTGGTTATGACACTCGCCTTGACAGCGAGAGGTCGCAGG